TGGAGCCGATCCGTGACGAGGGCGTCACGTGATTGGGTGGAGAAGAATGTCACGGACAAATGATCCCACATCGGCTAGGTGTAGGGCCGAAAAACAGTATTTAAATCATGGGCTGCCCACCACCCATAAGAGCTCTTTTGGGAGGTGACACTAGGCTCACACACATGCTTAGCATCCTAAAGCAACCTCGCATAACACGATGACAGAGAACAACATGCCTCGTATCCAAAACTTTGAATTTTCAAGAGTTGAAGGATTGGAGAGTTCATGCTAGTGGAAACTTTCATGTCTTAGTTGGATGGCTTCGCTCGTTGGCTTTCTTTAATATGCTCAACCTCTCAGCATCAAACAGTGGTCCTTACCACTGCCAACATCTTCAGCAATCTTAGCCTTACTTCCCACAATTAGATTATTATTATTTTCATGTGTTTTTGCCAAAGCCTTTCATACGGGATTAACTCTTAAAGTCACCCCTTTCTTCAAAACACAACATAGTACATCATTTTTTTTTCATAAGGGTTTGACCTTAAAAATTATTCTCTAGTTATTTTTTTTTTTGTAAAGAGCTTAAGGATGGGGCAACAAATTGTGTAGCCATCCAAATGCTTCCCTTGTCAGCAACTGCAAATCACCATTTTCAATGCTCAAAGCATGTCAAGCTCTAAGTCTGCAAGTCGTTGGTTAGGTTGAATATCCTTTGCCACCAACTTCAAATCTCAGATTTAGCCTATCAACTCCTACTCATTGTGAACCCCTATTAATTAGATAATTCCTTCGATGAAATTCACACCAGAAACCTTCAATTACCAAGTACAACCCAACCCCTTACCCATCAATCTTTCGTCGTTGAGATTTATACTTGTGTTCGGAGTTATCTTTGGTTTTGCCTTTACAACAAGGCTACCATAAGGTCTAATTCAGTATGCTTTAGTCCATCTCATACTATTGCATGATATAATTACACATGGTACACAACCAGTCATTATTTTAGACACACATATAGGAGGAATATTCAGAGCATTCTAATTCACCTGCAGGGTGAAATCAATGTTGTACATCAAATGTAAGGCCTTTCAACTTGAGGTCAATGATTTGCATTACCACACATGATTTGAGACATTTAATCCTTTGAATAAATGGTCTAGATTAGTCTCTTAATGTTTGAAACCTGAGATTCTTTTGATTCCATCATTTTACCCATTAGTGGACAAGCATGTAAGCAAACCATGTGAGTTTTCCTATGCGAATATAGGCTTTGGCCTTAAAGATTTCGTATCCTGGGTGGACTTTCTTGCCATTCCATTAGAATCTTATGTGCAACATTAACCAACCTCAACTTGATCTAGTAAACACAAATATTTTCCTAGCCTACATATAATCTCAAAGTAAAAACTACAAGCAGCTTATGCTATCTTACTGAGTTATAGCTATTCAATAAACTCGTCACTTTATCTCCCTAGTACTTTAGCGTCAAAAATATTGACTCAGAGGCCCATCATAAGAGACATTCACATACTTCTTACTAGACTGCATTG